CAGCAATTGTTTCTCTTTTGGTCAGAAACCCTGAGGGTCTTCCTTTCCAATATCTTTTTTTTTTTTTTTTGATAAGTTAGAGAGGCCATCACTAAATGGGCTTTGTCTCAGTCAAACTAAGACCTGTTAAAGACCTTAGCTTGAAAAGGCCAAGGTCTCCCACTGCATCTTGGGTCATCTCTGGTTGTCCTAATCTATATGTGGCCACTGGACCCAGGTGGCAGTGGAGGAGAAAGTGAGGCTGGTGATTTTGCCCAGCCGTCCCTCACTTAAAGCCAATTCATTTGCAAGTCATGGCATGACCTCCCTGATGTCATGGTCCTCTTCAAGAAGGATGAACAAACAACAGCTATTACATACTTGGTGCCACTTTTGTGGCCTGGCAGGTACCTGGCTGTGCTGCAACTCTTGGAATGAGGGTTCTGGTCAGAGGCCTCTTACATAGCCTAGGAGGGATATAGACAGCAATAAAGCAAAGAAACTATTAAACCTTTGCATAAGGAAGTCAAGATTTCCACATGTGTGTGGCCTAACACAGGGGATTACTCTTGCAATGTTATTCCACACTTTTGATCGTATTTCCTTGTGGAATTTCTTTCTTTTTAAAAAATGTTTTCCTCTTAATCATTTACTTTCATTATGAACAAATGTGAACATTTCCCTATATAAAGAACAGAAAAAAAGATTATATATGAAACCATGCATCTCTAATCTGCACAGGGTCTTGGGGAGTATATATTTATTATATTTAAAATGCTAGTACAAACATTGTCCTGTGTGTGTCCCCTCCCCAATTTCCTTCGGTTTCTTGTGTGTGTGTGTGTGTGTGTGTGTTGCTTGTTTGATGGTTTCATTAATTCTGGTTTCTCTTTGCATCACTATCATACTGCCCCCTCCCATTGCTGCAGAATTTCCTAGTCCAGGAGTGGGGAACCTGTGGCCTTGAGGCCACATGTGGCCCTCTAGGTCCTCAAGTGCAGCCCTTTGATTGAACCCAAACTTCACAGAACAAAGCCCCTTAATAAAAGGATTTGTTCTGTAAAACTTGGACTCAGTCCAAAGTCCCCTTAATAAAAGGATTTGTTGAGGACCTAGAGGTCCACATGTGGCCTCAAGGCCGCAGGTACCCCACCCCTGTAACCTAGTCTATTTCCCAATACTAGGCTACAGCTGTTAGGAAAAATGGGATTAAGCACAATTATTATAGACACTTTCTCCCCCTTTGGGGATCCCCAATGAACCGGGCCTGGAGTTACTTAAGTTGCAGAAGGGGTCTGTATTTAGCCTCATTCTTTTTTTTTTTAATTAATTAATTTTGATTTATCAACAATCATTTCCATAAGCTGTTGAGTTTTAAATTTTTCTCCCCCTCCCTCCCCAAGATGGTGCACAATCTGATATATAGCCTCATTCTTAAAAGTGGAGTTTTACATATTAGGGATATGTCCTCTATGGTGTGAATGAGCTAAGGTTCATTCCTGAAAAGGCCACATTGAGGCAGCTAGGTAGCATAGTGGAGAGAGTGCTGGACTGGGAGTCAGGAAAATCTCCATTTGGATTGGGCTTCAGGCACTAACTGGGTGACATGACCATCACTTAAGCTGTCTGGGCCTCAGTTTTCTCTGTAAAATAAGAGATTTGGACTCAGTGTCCTCTGAGGGCACTAGATCTATGTGTAACTCTGTGGTATATTAAGAAGGAAGCTGGAGAGAGAGGAAGGGGAGGAAGATGGGTGTCAGGTACTCTCTATACGTGCAAATAGTGTTTGTGAGGGAAGAGACAGAGGGAGAGGAGACCACAGGAACGAAAGGGCAAAGTGCATCAGTCAGCAGAATTCAGGGCTCAGCCTACAAAGTATGTGTATTAGACACTTGGAGGGAGGTGGCTCAGAGAGAAGAAATACATATGTAACCCAAGAAGAGCTAGATCCCTCCTTGAGATCTTGAATAAAGGACACAGGACAGACAGAGGCATGGAGAAAAGCCAAAGACCCAACAAAACCCAATTACAAAGGCTGGGGGGGGACAGCTAACATACTGAATAACAGTAAGGAGTCAATGAGATCTTTCTGTGGGCAAAAACACCGGGCTTTCATTTAAATAGAAAATGATCACATTTTATCAGTCAATTAGCAAGCATTTTTTAAGTGTCTGCTATGGGCCAAGCACAGTGCTAGGTAGGCATTGGGGACACAAAGATATAAATGAAGCAGTATTTGCCCTCAGGGAGTTTACATTCTATCAGGAAATATATATACATGTAAGGCAACAGGTGGAAAGAAGACCAGGTTTGGAGTCACCAGACCTCAGTTCAAATTTTGACACTGCCACTTAGCACCTGTGTGATCTTGGATAGGGGCAGCTAGGTGGCGCTGTAGTGGATAGAGCTCAGGGCAGGAAGACTTGAATTCAAATGTGGCCTCAGACACTTACTAGCTGTGTGACCCTGGAAAAATCACTTTAATCTCTGCTTGCCTCAGTTTCCTCAATTGTAAAATAGGGATAATAATAGTTTACATCAAAGGGTTGTTGTGAGGATCAAATAAGAAAATATTTGTAAAGCACTTAGCATCAGTGTCTGGCACATTATAGGCGTTGTATAAATGCTAGCAATTTTTCTTCATAGTAATAGTAGTAGTAGTAGTAGTAATAGTAATAGTATAATGGTTGAATCTATCAGTTTAAACAAAACTGTGGCATAAGTTGTAGTAAAGTCTTCAAATTATTATTTCTAATGTCTAAACAACATTTAGCACATTTAAAGAAAAAAACCCCAACAACCCTGGAGGTGATTCATGGTTTCTTGGAGCATAGATTGAAATACTAAAGAAAATACACGGTAATGGGGGATATGGAAGATGGCGCTCACTGCTGGAGTGCTCAGGAAAGGTGACATGTAGAGAAGGTGATGCCTGAGCTGATCTCTGAAGGAAGTCAGTAATTCTAAGATGCAGAAGTAAGGAGAGAGGCTGGTCCAGGCATTATCTGAACCCAGATCCACCATCCACCCAGTGCCTCAGGCTCACAACCTTCTCAACTCCTCACTATCTGTCACCCTTCACAACCCATCTCTTATTCTCTTATCAAGGCTGGTCAATTTCATCTCTCCAATACACCCTCTTTTCTCCTCTGATGCTGCCAACACTTTGGTGCAGGCCCGTATTACCTCAGGCCTAGACTACTAAAATAGCCTACTGGTAGGTCTGACTGCCTCAGGTCTCTCCCCATTACTCCCCACTCCAGTCCATCCTCCATTCAGCCACTAAGGTGATTTTTCTAAAGCAATGGTCCAACCTGGTAACTCTCCCTGCCTCCCCCTGCCCCAATCAACTCCAGGGGCTCCCTATCAGCTCCTGGATCAAATACAAACCCCCCTAGCAGTTCAAAGTCCTCTTTAACCGACACCTCCCCCTCACTCCCCAGGTACTCTTGGACCCAGTAACACTGGCCTCCTGGCTGTTCCAGGAACAAGACCCTCCATCTCCTTACTCAGTTATTTTCTCTGGCCATTTCCCATGCCTGGAAGGCTCTCATCCCTCTTCTTGGCCTCCTGGCTTTCCTCAAGACCTAGCTAAAATCCCATCTTCTCAGGAAGCCCTTTCCCCATCCATCCCTCTTAATTCTAGTGCCTTCCCTCTGATAATTATTTCTTATTTATCCCTTATATACTTCGTACATATCTGTCTGTTTATTGTCTCCCCTACTAGACTGAGGAGGGCAGAGGTTGCCTTTTCTCTTTCTGTGCATCCCTTAGCACAGTGCCTGGAACACAGTAGGTATTTAATAAATGCTTTCTGCCTGACTGACAGATCCTCTGACTCGGGAACCAGTGTTCTTTTCTGTATGTTAAGCTCTCATGGGAGGGCCGGAGGAGGGAACAGGTAATGTTTAGTCTGAAGCACAGATTTAGGGAGGATTTGAGAGCTGGCATCTCCTGGATCACAGACGGCTCTGTGCCGACCAATACAACTTGTTAGCCTTGGCCCCTGAGGGCAGAACCAGAGGCAGAGAGAGTAAAGTGTTCAGCCTTAATGTCAGGAAAAAACAAACAAACAAACAAACAAGCAAAAAAAAAAAAAAAAAAGAAACCCAAAACCTTCCCCAGGAGGTGAGGGGTAGGTGTTCCTCACTATGTGGTCTCCAAGCAAAACAGGATGAAATCAGCTGGTGCCTTGGAGGGGGGAGGGGAGTTCTTGTTTAGGGATGGGTCGTACCCACTGGCCTCAGAGGTCCCTTCCAGTTCTGACTTTTGTCACAGCTGCACAGGACTACACATGCAGAGACACCAACTATTTCTTGACTGTCTAATTGCAGTGGGCCAATTGCTCTGGGCAACTTAGTGACGGGTCACAAGATCGTGGACTCGGAGGTGCCAGGGGACTCAGAAGTCACCCTCGGCACCCACCTTATTTTTACCGAGGAAACTGAGGCCCTGGGAGCGAAGTGGCTTGCCATAGGTTACACAGGTACTAAGCATCGAAGGTGGGATTTGAACCCGGCCCTCTGCCTCGAGCCAGGGTCCGTCCACCACACTACGCTGTGGAGGAGGAGAATGTGGAGCAGGGTTTTGCAGGAGGGGAGCCCCGCACACGTGGAGTCCTAGTTAGAGGGGGAGAGGTGCTAGGGAGAGAGAAAGGAGCAAAGGGGGACCGAGAGAGAGGAGGAAGAGGAGGCTGGGCAAAGGAGCCAGAGAACCCGAGAAAGAGGATCTGGAGGAATGGAGGATGATTTTTCGGGAGGAAGGGGGGCTGGGGTGTAGGCGAAGTGAAGAAGAGAGGGAGGGAGGGGAAAGGGGGCAGAGATCACGGGTGGGTGCTGGAGGGGAAACAGAAAGGAAGAGAAAGATGGAAGACTGAGCAGAGAGGAATAAGGGGGGGGG